GTGAGGAGAGAATCCAGCCTGAGCTGCCTGGAGAACCAAGGTAGCAATAGTCCCTCTTGCTGGAAGGACCTGTGTGGAACTTAGCTGTATCGTTGTGACCAAGGAGGAAGATCTACCAGAAGCCAGGTGGCCTACTCTGCTCCCAACTGCTGCCGGTGCCTGAGCAGGCTTTCATACCATGGCCAGTGATGACTCTTTTCTTACCACCAAGCACCTAATCCCTAGTCCTCTGAGCCCCCATATAATGGGGTCCTTCAGCTTCCCCACAGGCAGCCCTCATTGTACTCTAGGTAGCTCCCCGTTGTTTCCTTTTGAACAAATGGGCTTCCTGATTGCCCCTGCCCATAGACTGTGAGGAGGTTTAAGTGAGCAGGAAGACAGTTAAATATCTTACCCGTGTCCAGAACATCACGGGCACTCCACATGTTAAAAGACAATGAATGAAAATAACAGAGGCAAAATAACATGACTGAAGACATACAGTTGATGAATGAAGGTTTTAAATCTGAGTATGTTCACCTTTTCCACCCAGGCATGGGCAGAAGGAAGCGTTCCCTGAATGGCAGTTGTTGATATCATCCCATTTGTTCAGAGTTTAAAGAGACAGTTAGGGCAGGCAGAAGTGCAGTAGGTATCCCCAGGTGCGCATTCTCCATGCCGTCCTCATACTTGCTTTCTAGAAAGCCAAGCCACAAAGTGCAAGAAAGAACCTGATGCAGCCAGAGGCTCCAGACCCCTGCCCTTTCCTGCAACATTTGTGTGTGTGTTTGTGTATGTGTGAGTACACACATGCATCCAAATATTCCTTCTCTGGAGGAGGAAGTGTGCCCTGGGGGCCTTGTACTAAAGTCTCAAAGACTTGACTGGGCTGTCTGGAGTGCATTGGGAGAAGGGCAGAAACCGAGGTTGACAGCTGCTCCAAGACCTCAAACTGCAAGAGCACAGCTCTCCAAGCTTGGAGGAAACTCTTGGGGCACAGGGATTTATTTCTGTGAAAGGCTTTGGAAAGATAAACAAATGCAATCACTCCTGGGTGTACATTTAATGAACTGTCAATGTTTGGGGAAATGATTGCTAATTGCACATAAAAGGAGACAATTCAGAAAAAAATAAAGGCGACAATGATTAAAAATTTCAAGTGTAGACTGCCTTGGGAAGGCTGGATTAGACCAGAAGGTCAGCCTCCTGAGGGTGGGGGTGAGGCGTCCTCCAGGCACCTCTTTACCTGGTGTGGACCACGTGCCGGAGATTTCCCTGAGAATCTCACCACCATCAATGACAGAAGGGTGATCACCTCAGTGTCTTAGGGAAGATCGGGTGGCTTGGGCTGACAAGATTAAAATGCTAGCGAAGGAAGTCTGCCCGCTGGAGTTCAGTCCCTGGAACCGTATAAAGGTAGGAGAGAATTGACTCCACAAGGTAGTCCTGTGACAGCCATATGTGTGCCCCCGTCACCACACACACACACACACACACACACACACACACACACACACACGAAAGGAGAGAGAGAGAGAGAGAGAGAGAGAGAGAGAGAGAGAGAGAGAGAGAGAGAGATCAGAGCCTTTAAGCTGCTAGTTCCAGGCAGTACAGTTGGGGTTCTTTATGTCTGAGGCAACCTCCACAGAGGGTGCTGGAGACCCAAGGCAGCATTCCGCAGTAAGAAGTTCACTGTCTCCTGGCCATAATGTAACAAAGCTGGAGGCACTGGCTTTCAAACTATTTCTTTGTAAAGGACACATGCTCTTTTAAATCTCAAGTGGATTTCCATGGCACAGAGCCAATGACGAAGGGACCTAATTGAACTGGAACAAGAGGTGGTGTTCCTGCCATTTTTCATGATTCTCAGGGTATTGGAGCTGGGCCTGACAGCCCAATCAAAGCCCATGCTCATGTCTAGGGCCCCGTGCTCCAGTTGGGAACACTGAGGACTGGTGTGGGCAGAGTTCCAGGCTGCAGGCTGCTGGCTTCTGGTTCAGGGATCTTTGTGCAGGATGTCACTGAAGAAGCTTGCTCCAGGTGTCCTGTGTCCAGGGGACACATGAGCCTCAGCACCTGAGTTGTCTAGCCCAAGCTAATTCTGACAGACCTGAGACTTTAAAGCCAATGAGACATTTGGGGCTTTTTCTTCTAGTGGGTGTTAGAGAAAAGAACCTTGAAGAACTTCTCGGGAGAGAGGTGAGTGTTTTCAAAATCCATTTCCCCCACACTTCCTGCATCACTCTCTTGTTGCCATGACAGCTACAACTGAAGGAAGCAGTTTCGTTTTGGCTCACAGTTTGATGGGCGGACAGTCTCGAGGAAGACACAGTGAGGAAGGTGTGGCATCTGGCCATGTTCATCCACTGTCAGGAAGCAGAGATGCGTTCTGGTGCTCAGCTCCCTTTTTTTTACTCTCCAGTCTTGGACCCCAGCCTGTGGAATGGGGCTGCCCACACTTAAGACAGACCTTCCCACTTCAATTAACATAAGTTAGTAATACCCTCATAGACAAAATCAAAAATTCACCTCCTAGAACCTAAGACCTAAATGATTATAGTTTCTGTCAAATTGAAAATATTAAGTACCACATCCCTCCCTAAATCAGGGAGTCAAGAGATACCAGCCTGGTAGTCAAAAGGCCCATGTCATTACCAGGACTCCCCATCTGTCCAACCTGCCATGTTTTCTCAGCATCGCCATATTACAATGAATGAAGAATCTAGAACCTTCTGAGCCAGGCTGTTCCTCGGTCTGTGCTAATCTGCACTCTGCTTGGTCAAGGCTGGCTGTCCTTTCCCTGGGCTGCCTTTCTTTCCTCCCCACTCCATCTCTTTGGAAAATTCCTTTGCCTTCCTGGAAACCCCAGAGAAGCTACAATTTGGGGAATTTTCTTGCTCAGTTAAAGCGATCCTACGGGTAGTTTGCTCAACTTTACCTGTGGAAGCGTTAAGATGGAAATGGCTGTGTGCACAGGAGACTAGTCTCACAGAGTCTCCTGGAACTAAACTTTCAGGGGTCCCTATTTTGTGGGAGAAAGAAGTGTTTTTACTTCTTATATGTATATAGGCATCACATTTCCTGATGTGGGGGTGTCCCAAGATGATTGCTAACACATTTATTGATCCTTTCTGATCCTCAATGATCTTCAAGAGGGAATAAGCCTAGGAGTGGTCAGCCTTTCTTAGGCAAAAGAGCCAGTGGGATCGGGTTACGCTTTCTTTTATTGTGGCTGAAGATCCATTGTTGTAGTTTAATGACACCGTTTTATTCACACTGTGTTTGTTTTTATGATATCCTTCTATTTATAGCAACCTGGCACTGCTTTTCCATTTATGGCTGTGGTAGGACATATCACTGTTTAAAAAAACAAACTTGTTTAAGTAAAACAAAATATAAAAGAAATGCTGATGTAAAGAAAGCCGTTAAGCAGGCAGCCCTTAGGCTGGGGCCCAGCCAGGCCCTTGTTCTGAAGGAGGCAAGAGACTGAGGCCTGGAGCTAGAATCGGTGTCCCAGCTGGGTGTGAACTGCTGCTTCTGGGGGTGAAAGTCAGGTTGTCAGGCCTAGTGGTGCCTTTAACTAGTGAGGCATCTTATCGGTGCCCAGCCTGTGCTATCTTTCCCTACACCACTCTGCCTGTTTTTACCAGAGCTAAATCTTCAAAAGCCTCCCCATCTTGTCAAGCCCGGGCCCTCATTCGGGCTTTGATTCTCACTGAGTTTCTGTGTTCCCAGCAACAACCTTGAGTTAAGGACCTGTGGGGGTTCTCAGCTAGAGGGGCCAGCCTCCCCTTGACCCTGTTCGGGAAACTGGGGAGGTGTCTATATAGTGACAGAATTCCATAGCCATGCGGGCCCACTGAAGAGCAGAGTCCAGACCTGGTCACGAAGCTGCGTGCCTCTCTAGCAATCCATCCTTGGCCTCTCTTCCTACTCTGTGAAATGGTTCAAAGGGCTAACCCTGAGACCTGAGACATCTTACTTTTTGGACTGCTGGCCCAGAAAGGTCAAGTCTTTCTGTCTTCCCTTCAAAACTCAGTCTTGCATCCTAACCTTACCAACTTTAACATCCAAGGCAAGAGCGTCTGTCCTGACATCAGTGGGCCAAGAGATCTCCTTCAGACTGCAGTTTAACTCCTCTCTCTCTCTCTCTCTCTCTTTCTCTCTGTGTCTCTGTGTCTCTCTCTGTCTCTCTGCTCTCTGTGTGTCTCTGTGTCTCTGTCTGTGTCTCTCTGTCTGTCTCTCTCTGTCTCTGTCTCTCTGTCTGTCTCTCTGTGTGTGTGACAGTACTTTCAGTGTGGAGGCTTGTCAAAGCTGGGGCACTGATAATGCCAGGGAGGGAACAAGCATTGTAATCTGAGTCTTCTCATGACAGTTTCTGTTAGGTTGTGATTCATATATGCATTCTTGTGAATTTTGTATGGACCCCGGTGTGGCATAGATTAGCTGTCTCAGCGAAAGCCTGTGTAGGGAGGAAAGAGAGCCTCAGGTCTGGTCTTAGCAATGCCTTGGTTTACAACTGATGTAGTTAGGAAGGCTCACCAGGCCAGAGGCAGTCACCAGCGATGAGACTTAACAGTGCTTGCTGCACCGGATCCCACTAGGTATTTCCCTGGCAGTGAGTGGGAAACCAAGGGACTACGTCGCAAAGGAGAATTCCACACTTCAACCCTGCAGTCACACCCAAGGGTGGTGGTGACATCAGGAAAGCTCCACAGGAATAAATGCCCCAGTTTGGCGTGCCAGCCACCCTTGCCCTCCTCGAGCAATCTCCTAAATTCAAACACCACACAAACATGGGAAGGAGGCTAAGGGCGCAGGGTCCATCAGGAAAGCACGACTCCAGAGATCATATGCTAGCATCGGGTGAGAGGGCAGAGAGGCCATGGGGAGGCAAGAGCCAGGTTAGCCTAGAGGCGCTCCAGCACTGTGGCGGCTGTAGTGGCGACTGGAGACCGAGGGGCGGAGGCTAGGGCGGAGGAAGAGGGAGGGCGGGCCGGAGGGTGGAGGGAGGTGTGGCCGGCGGCGGTGGCGGGCGAGCGGCTGCAGCTGCCGCCGGCGTCTCAGGGGCTGCTGGCTGCAGGCGGACGCCGCGCCAGGCTATCCCGAAGCCCAGCTGCGCCAGGCCTCCTGGCCCCGGCCCCCAAAGGGCGTCGCCGCTTCTCGTCGCCTTGACGCCTAGCCCAACGCCACCGTGCAGGATTGACGGCGCCCCTCAAGTTGCTAGCGCACTGTGCGCCCGGGGAGAAACTTTCCCCCGCGTCCGGGCCTCTGCCAGGTAGGACTCGACCACTGTGCTTCTCTGTGCATACTGGCGCAGGGACATTGCGCGCCCCAGGGGAGATCTAGAACCAATGTGGGTCCCAGGACGCTCGGGGAAGCGGTCACCAAGTTCTACTGCGACTCCCCTGGGGGAGGGGATAGTGCCTCCTAGCGTGACCCCGAGCACGCCCCGGGTCGCGGACTTTGCCCAGGTCAGGTGCAGCGCCCATAGATTCGGGGGCTCAGGTGACAACAAGGCGGCAGGTGGGACTCCCAGGTCCGGAGTGTTGGTCGGGGATGTACTGGGAGGAAAGGGATGCATCCAGGTGACCCTGAGAGCCCACAGGTCACGACGGGAGACCCGGAAAAGGGCTTGGGTGCGGCGAATCGCCGGCCGTGGTGGGGTACTGAGGGCGCGTCGCCTTCGTGGGACCCTGGTGGCCAGCCAGGAGAGCGCTCTTGAATTTGTTTCCACACTCGGGCTGTCATTCCCTGCGCGGAAAGGTGTGCAGCTCTGTGGATGTGGAGGCTACCGGGCGGGTCCCGCGGCCGGATGTGGGGTGTGGTGGCCGCGGGTTCCCAGCGTGGCTGGCCGCGGTGGGCGCGCTCGGGATCGGGGTCCTGCTTGCGCTGGAAGAGTTGCCTCGCCAGAGGGCGCACTTGCTTGGCCAGGTGCTTCCCAGACCAGACCAGGATCCTCACAGACCGCAAGCTCCGCAGATGCACCACTGCGCTGCGCGGGAGGTGGGGGGAGAGGGGGTAGAGGGTCTGAGGGTCTGTCTAGAGGAGCGCCCCACCTTGTCCCAGCGAATCGGGCTGACGGCCCCACTATGAGACTGGGGTGCCTCGGCAATGACCGGATGGTGTCATGAGGTGATTTTTCATGGACTGTAGGCAAGAATGATTTACATCTAGAAAAACAAAAACAAAAGAAACTTTAAGTGGACAGTGAGCTGGCGTTGAGACAATAAGATAGAACCTTGGTTGAGATACTTGAAGTTACTGAAACCTAACACCTTTTGTAAAAGTGGCTCCCTTTGTCCTGGTCCTGGCAGATCTCTGGGCATGGTGGGCAGGACTCCTCCTCTTTCTGGGCACAGGTACATTGGGTGGATGGTGAGGTTCCTTAGGAATTTCTGTAGTTCCATTAGAAGGGTTACACTCCCCAGCCATCCAAAGAGCACCCCATCACCTGGGTCCCACACACATCTATCTGATCATGTCCCAAGCACCTGTGAAAACTCACCTTCCATCCCTTACTCTCAGACGGGATGCCTGTGGGAAGGGACATGCTGACATCCAGCCAGAGCCGTAGGAAGTGTCATCTTTGTTGTGTGAAGAGCTGTTCATATTGAGGGGACTCTGTGAGTGACTGGTGCCTTGTCTTTATCTCTAAACTCGTCTCTCCTCTCTGCGACCCAAGAGAGTATAAATGATCTCACTAGAGACGGTGACTTCAGAGTGACTGGAACTTTCCATGTGTCCTTGCTAGGAATCTGTGTTCACCATCCCAACTGCCCCCCACACTCCTGCGAAGGTGAGGGAAAAATGGGGTGGATCCTGAGTCCCCAGGAGACAGATGGGGTTCTGGCTGCAGCGTGGGTAGAAACCACGTGTGTTTATCGGGTGCTAGAGTGGGACAAAGTTTCCGATAGAGGGAGCAGACCTCAACTGGATTCTGTGTGGAATGGCAGAGCTAACGCCCTTTAGTCAGTGTGGGATCCCAGAACTGAGGCAAGGAGGCAAAGGGAAGGTGGAGAAGCCCTTGTCTCTGGGTTGTCTTTAAGGCATTCCAGGGTCAGAAAACAAAAGAAGTGTTTGGTTTGGTGTGTGTGTGTGTGGTGTGCGCGCGTGTGTGTGTGAGTGTGTGCTGGTAGCCTGGAAGGACAGTCTCACCCTTGGAACATGGGGATTAACCTGTCCCCCACCGTAAGGGCCGGCTATTCTGAGTGCTGTCTCTGCTTGTTTCTCACCCCAACGTCCACACTGAAGAGAGCACAGACTCTCCACCCTCTAGGGCTACTCACGTCTCTGCTTCTGTGTTGTGGACTCCAGGAAGATTCCCAATCTCTGACTTAACAGTAATCCAAGCCTGGGCCTATTTCTTTGTCTACTCTGTCCTCAAGTCCAAAATGCCAGTCAGTCGCTGAAGCTCCAGGAAGTATTGTAGGAGTGGACCTCTGGGTTACACATAGGACATCTTGGTATGAATCCAGAAAAGACTCCCCACCTTTGAATAACTGCCACACCAACCTGAGAATAGCTCCCCGCTTACTATATGATGTCTCAGTGCCCTGGGCTTGGGGTTGTTTGGGTTTGGAGTCAAGGGATTAGGGGGATTTGTGGGAAGGGCTGGTAGAGGGAAAAGAGCAGATTTGAAATCCAGACAGTCAGTTTATCAATGAGGCCTTGGATGAACCCCTTCCCCTGTGATCCTGCTTCACAGCTGCAGAGATGGAGGGCCCTTGTGACTTAAATCCAGGGAAGTCTCTTGGTGATCTGGACAGCTATGCTGGATGCTGCCCTTAGTTCTTTGGGGTTCCCCAGGCTGTTTGGCTTCCTCTAGCTGGCGTCTGGTACTAGAACCCAGGGGTAGTCATTCAGCTTGTGTGGACCAATGCCACACATTGGTGTTTGGGGGGCAGGGGGAGGGTAATGTTCTGACCCATCCCTGTTAAGAGGGTCACAGTAGCCAGTGCCGGTGTCTTTCTCTTGGTGCCTGTCCATTTCCTGTTTCCTTGGGGAAAGCCAGGGCCTGAGACTGGACAACACGTTTTAGCAGCCCCCACCCCTCCCTTTCCAGAGGGCTGCTCTTCTGGTCCATTTCATCAGCCACTGAGAGGGGAAATCAGGAACATTCGTCTGCGCTCAGATGGGACCCCACAGAGAGAGCTCAGAACCCAATACTCTCAGGCAAACACACCAGCTTGGGCTCCTCTTGCCCCACAGGCTAGCAAGTGTTCCATCTGATGGAGTGGGGCCGATCACAAGTGTTTTATACAAAGAAAGGCCGACTATAGATGGTGAGCCCAGGGCTGCAGCTGACACCACCAGGCTTTCAGTGGGGCCCTGATTATCTTGCTCTCTCTAGCCTAGACTTCTGGGTCGGACATAAGCAGAAATAGGCTCATGAATGGTAGGTGCGTGTGTGCGTGTACACTGGGAGATTAGTCATGATAGAGTAGACAACCCAGAGAACCAGGAATGAGGAGGCTTGATGGATCATAGATGAGACTGTGTGGCCTCAGCTAAGTCACTGCCCTGTCTGAGCCTCAGGTTCTCTATTTGCTTAGAAAAAAATCACTGTGTGATGATTAGAGTACCTGGGTTTAAATGCTGTCTACCCTGCCTGTCAATCACGTGACTTTAAGTCACTCAACTTCTGGTGTCTTCCATTTTCTATAAAATGGAATTAGCAGTATCTCACACCATCAGACTGTAGTGGGCCCTCAGTGCGATGGTCCTAGTAAAATATTTAGCACTGTAGCTAGCGCACAGCAAACACTCTTATCTTCCCATTGTACTTTAGGGACAGGAGACAATGGGAGTAGGTTGGTTGTCAGGTGTTTTCTTCCTTTCTTACCTTCCCGGGGCAATGCATTTCCTGGTAGTTACTTTCACAGTAGCCCCGTCCCTGCTGCAGGATAGCCAGTGTGATGTCTAGTCCTTCAGCCATAATCTACCAGTCTTCCCTGCTCCACTCTGCTTCCTCTCCTAACTGGGCACCCGGACCACCTGAGCTGATGAGAAACCGACAAACAGCTTCCAACATCACCCCAGCCAGTCACAGGCTCTTCTTCTAAAATACTTTGGGCCTTCAGATAAATTCTCTTGAACTCTGTGGGTGGTATTTTCCCCAGCGGGCCTGGTTCCCTCTCTGGATTTGGGCTGGGCCAGGTCTGAGGTCTGCAGAGTGGGGATATGTCTCCTGTCTTGACTGGGGAAGCTTCCTCGGGCTGCTTGGGAGGGGACAGTCCAGGCTGCACCCATGTCTCTTCCCCAGGAAGGCTATTGCTCTGAGTGATCTTGACAGTGACATCTGCATGGTACAGACACTGAGACTGTTCCTATGAGTCCGGGCTAGACCACGCTCCGGCCTCATCGCTTCTCGCAGGGGTTTTGTCTCTGAAAAACATGGAGTTGGCGGTGGGGCTGGGGTTTGAGATTAGCTCATTTTGGCTCTTCATCCTCTGTGTTCAGCCATTGTGTGGTTCTCCTTCCTGTGACCCCCAGAGCCCCAGTGGGTACCTTTGAAGTTGGGGCACCCCCAACACACCTCACACACACACACACACCACACCACACCCCACATATGCTTTTGACCATTCTTGCTTTGCGCACCTTCTGAGAACCCATCCTTTCATCTTACACATATCACTTAGGCACCTTGGAGACAGGTGGGTTAAAAGGTTTGGCGACATGGTTGCTCACAGAAGGGAACAATCTCAGGAAGCAAGAGAGGGCTGTAAGGAAGAGGTGTGTTGCTGGCCTGGATCTGCAATTGTCTTGCTGTGTTGTGGCCTCTAATTCTTTATCTCTGAAAATGATGGCACTTGTGTTCTGTTAAGCGGACACTAACTGCTGCCTATGACACCAAACCTCCATGCCTGAGCTCTTTGCTCTCCCTGCTTGCTCTCCTGCTTGGCCTCTGTCTCTGCTTTTTGGGGTGCTTGGGAGGGTGACCCCGGTATGTATATGGCTGCTCTGAACCATGTAAGTGGCACTGATGTCACTGTTGAAGGACAAGAGGATGGTGGGAATGCCAGCAGGCACTCCATGCTGCAGCAGGAGTTGGACATTGGCCAGATCTGTCACCCAGTCCTAATCGGCTGCAAAGGAAGCTGAGACCACAAAGAAACTCCAACTTGGCATTGGCATTAGCAGCAGAGTGCTGAGATGAATATTCAAAGTTCCTTGGGACGACTGGGTCACCAGCCCTTCAGACAGACTTATCCTTAACTGGCCCTGATTGCACACAGTCTGCACATGGGGACCTTATTTCCAGGTGTTCGTATT